ACTGTTTCCTGGGCTCTAGGAGCTGCACTCTTGTCTAATAATTCTACTGTTGCTCCTTAAACACTAATCAAACAGTTGTTTGACACTGCTTGATCAAGTCAGCTGAAGTCAAAATGCACAGGTAGTTCATAATAAGAATTAATAAGGAGGTAGCGAAGAGAAGCTTGTGTATAAGAGCTGACAAACACCTCCAGAGGCTGGCTGTAAAATGCAGCAGTGAGCCACCAGAAGTTCCGGAAGCAGCAGCTCCCAGATGTTTACTGAAGCTTCTTAAAGAGGAAGCCTGGAAGCTGCCACACCTGCTAGGTCTCATACTGGTTGCCACTGCTGCAGTCTTAAAATAGTGACAAATTGTATTGCAAAAGAACAGCAGGACTTCTGAGCTGCTGCACCACCCACAGAGCAAGCCCATACAGCATCTGGAAGAGGCTTCATTAACTCTGCTGCACAATGAAAAAGGGAAAGGAGGCAGAAAAATGTTGCCAGAAAATCACTGTGGGCCATATTTAGTTCAGAAGTCTGAACAAGACACCAATTCCACATGGTGCAACCAGAAAGCAATCCTGATGCAGCCACAACTTCCATCCATGCTCCTCCACTGACCAATGAGGAGAATCTCCAGCTTTCCCTCGTGGCCACAGCAGGGGCCTGTGCTACCACAGCTGTGCCAGGAACATGCATCACCCTGAATTATGCCAGCAACAGTTGTACCTCTATGGAGCAGTTACTATTTTCAGTGGAAATCCCCCTTTCTCTCAGTTTCCACTGGGGTTACCAGGTGAGCTTGAAGGAGCTCCATACTCTCCTCAGCTCTTCCACTTGAGCCTAAGGTTGTGTCCTACTCTCATATGATTTCACTGCAGTTTTCCAATTGCCACCATTAAAAGCAATTGCAATTACATTTATAAAATTACGTCTACAGACATCTCTATCCACCTTCCCCCCAGTAAAAATGAACAAATAAAAAAGAACAGACTGTTAACTGCTATTAGAATTGAATCTTAAAAAGACGAATGTATTTCAGATAGAAGGGTTGAACTGCAGCAATATGTAACCATTCAAATGAAAAAATCCACCAGTGCTGCTGAGCAAAGTTCACTATTGCAAAGTTTAAAAATACTGCTTACATTTTATTAGAATTATGGATTTTTTTTCAGTTCAGAAATCTTTAAATATTGAATAAGTTACGTAACGTTGAGCCACTAGACTGTAATATGAGATTACTTTATTAAATATATATGTTTCTCCTTGAAAGGAAAGCTTTAAAACAAATTGCTATGCAGAACTTAAAATAATTTATTTTTCTTTCTTTACTTTCACTAGCAAGAATCTTATTAAGCCTTAGTTACCCTAATTAAATTGTTTTATTAACTTTGGCCAGTCTTAAAAATCGACATGTGCCAACATGTTAGCCTGTTGGAGCTTGCTATGTTGTGGCATTTCAGCCACACCATCCATCTGCCTGAGTAATCATTTTCTGAATCAGTAAGAACATTTTTATTTATTACAGTTTCTATGGATTTTTTTTTTAACTAAAAAGAATATATGGATACAGATACCACCAAAACTGAATTATATTTAAACGTCAGCATTTTACTGTTTTTAGTTAGTAGGAACTGATATTCAGGGTCTTGCTGACCACATACCACTACTGTATATAAACTCACCCAGTCAGTTAAAAATTTTGACTTTGCTGGTAGCAGTATGAAGGCACAGATTCCTGGAACACAATGGAGTTGCATACATTTATTTTTGTTTTTTTTCTCTTTCATTTTCCCTCCTTTTTTTTTTTTTTTTTCCTCTTTTTCTTTCTTCTTGTTTCCTTTTTGATTCTTTCCCCCCTTATCCCATTCTTTCTGTATCTCTCCGCTTTATTATTTCACCCTTCTCAATCTTCTCTTCCCTTCTTCTCTGTTCTTTCTTCTCCCTTCCGTCTCTTCCTCTTCTTTCTTGTTCTCTCCTTTTGTTCCTTCTTCCTCCTTACTTTATGTTTTAATTGGTCCGCTCTCTTTTCATTTTCTGAATGCTTTCTCTTCTCTTTCGGTTCACTTCTCTATCCTTTTTCTTTTTTCTTCCTTTTCCATCTCTTTTTTTTTCCCTCCTTTCTCTTCTCCCTTGCTTTCTCTCCCTTTCCACTTGTGATGGACTAGCCTTGTCCAGCAGACAACTGCCCACCCAGCCACTCACTCACTCTCTCGACAGGAAGCAGAAGAGAGGATGAAAAACTCGGGTAAAGACAGGGAGATTGCTTACCAGTTACCAGCAGACGCAAAACAGATTTGACTTCAACTTGCACGTTAAAATAGATTTGGGTAGCAAAAAACAAAGACTTAAAATAAAATGGAGGGAAAAAGCCAGCAAAGAACAGTGAGGCCACCTCTGCAGATATCCACTACCAAAACCTTGCAATGGACATCTTTTCTTTCCCTCTTCTCTTATTTTTGTTTCCTTTTCATTTTTCTTTTTCTCTCCCTTTCTCTTCTTTCATCTCCTCTCTTCAGCCTTTCCCTCTCCTTCCTTTATCTCCCCTTACTTTTCTCTTTCCTCCTCTTCTCTCCTGCCTTTCTCTCTCTCTCATTCTATAGTATCATAAACCTTCAAAATAGCTATACCTTTTATAGCAGAAACATACAATAATAAATCTTTTTGTGAAATGAAAACAACTAAAACACTAATTTTCATTTTATTTTTGTTTACATCTATTCAAGATGAAGAAAGGGTAGCACTTCTTACAACCAAAAATTCAGGGAAACCCCCACAGGTTTTTTGATTTTTTTTCCAATTTACTTTTACTTTTCTATTTACTTTCCGTTGGGCATGACTTTTTAGAGAATAGAATTCAGAATTTTGGAAGTAAATGTCAAAGCAGGGGGTAGTTATGCAGACATATACTTACTTTAAGAATAAAAAAAAACGTTCTCAATCCAAGAAAAAACAGAAGTTAGAATGAATATGAACACTCTATTTCTACATCTTTAGTTCGTATTCTACTGACCAAAGAAAAGATTAAAAGTGATTTTCTGAAGTCTACTGTAAAACATAAAAGAACAAATTAAAATAAACATTAATTCCCTTTCAAAAGTTGTATCAATGTTTTTGTATGTATTACTGTATTAAGCATGTATGCTTTAATCAACCCCAAGAGAGGCGGAAAAAACTGATGTGATAAAGAACGAGGAGAAAAGGAATACACATAAACAAATAAAGATGACTTCCAACAGAAAGTTACTGTTTTCCAGAATTACTCATTGCTTCAAAGATAATACCTATAAGCAAAAAGATATTACCTTACATTATATCAAAATAAAAGCATCTGCTATAATTCTGCAGCCTAATAACTGCCAAGTATTTCTTTAAAATATTTTTGTTAAGAATTTATGTCTGCTTGCAAATCCTGAAATAAATACAGAACTGGCAAGCGCGATACATCCCGTATCTTTAAAAAATATAGCAATGTAAGATTTACTGTATTGGTTCAAATTAAAGTATTTGGGTGGATGTAAAACATTTAAGTTATGCTTGTGTGCACGGGGGAGTTCCATTTGGCAAAACAGCAGAGCAAAATGTTTTTTTCTTTCCCTCAAAGCACTGAGCAGACACTTTTACTTTTGTGTTATAACTTAATCCAGCTGTCACTGCAATTCATCCTATGGTGGAAGATATTCTTTTTTTTGACTCAGAACAGTTCATTAAGTCTGGAAATGACAGAATTAAACTCCTATTAATCATGTAACTAAAATATCAATCTCATTTCAAAATGTCACAGAAAAAAAAAGTTTTCAGGTTCTAACAATAGTAAACATCAAATAGTTCCTAACGGTATAACATTGATAACTAAAATGAATACATTAACGTTTTAGACTGGCCGTACTTGATAGGCACAGCATTCTACCTGAAAGGAGCTCAATTCTGCTGAAGTCACTAACAATTTTCTTTTGAATATAGGGGTTGAGATATATGTACAAAGAAAGAGTCAAAGAAACGTAATATAATGTAGCATCACATGAAAAATTCAGCCTTTATCAGAAATCAGTAAGTTTTCTATCAGTCATCCTGGTCACTATATGAAAATATTTTTAATGAAGAATTAAACAATATATTAAATTGACAGTATCAACCATCTCATCAACTCAAACTCCTACCTTTTTAGTCTTTGTCCTTATACAAATGGCTTTTTTCTAAGTGCTTCTGCAGTAATCCATTTAATTTGTACACCCAGTAGGTACAAGCTCTAAGAATTGATTGGTAATGCTCAGTTACATTCACTGTGATGTCAAAAGTGCAAAAAAAAAAAAAAAAAAAAAATCTTTCAGCTACAGCCTGTCACCAGTTTTATTTCCTCCGCACAGAATGTGGGTGTCCAAACTTGCCTGGGCCATGCTGAGTGAAGATGAATTGTCTTGGGTCACATATAAAACATACAGTTTATGTAAGTAACAAGATTCCTTTTTTTTTTTTTTTTTTTTTTTTTTTGTATTTTTGTATTTTTTACTAAAAAAAAAAAAAAAAAAAAGGGTAACAAAAACACAGAACTATTGAGTGGAATATTTGCCCTTGTTTTTGTGAAACTAATGCATTGAGTGGCCCCCGGTTTGATGGAAGTAGTTGCAATTCTTAGTGAGCTCTCAAGGTGCCCCATCAGGTTTTGATATAATTTTATTCTTCCTATGCTTCATCCTTAAAAGCAGCTGTTCACAAAGGTACGTACTGCAAAAAAACAATGACATGAATAAGGCACGACTGTGGAGAGGGATTTTTCTCTCTGCTAAGACATGGTTTATAAAAGTCTAGTAAGGAGATAATTTTTTTTTTTTTTTCTACTTGAATGTCCGATTGCAACTGTATACAATCCTCTTGAAAATCCCCAGGTAATGCATTTATGTTGACTGAAAGTGGAGTTGCAAATATACAAAAAAAAATGTTTTCTTTCAGCAACCTTGGGTATTTTTCACTGTTCACAGGATTGTGTTTCGCAAATGTATCAAAATACATTTTCATACTTTCTACGCCACAGCTGTTAAAAAACTACTTTAACACATTGACTTTGGAGACCGTAACTGTTGTGGTCATTTTTTTTTTTGCGCTGAGGTGCAAAATAAAATGAAAATAAAATAAATTGGGCAAAAAGACCTCTGTACTCTTCTTTTATTTTAGCTATGGAGAACTAACAGCAAAACAATTCTTTGTAATGCTTTGAACTTTTTCCCACACGGTTTTCGCTACTGGAAAAACTGCGCAGAGGATATATGTGAATATAGTTCTGTGATTTACAATTCTACATGCATGCACGTAAACTGCGTGTATGTATCTGCGTGTAGAAACACGTGTCTATAAGTACATTTACACACAGAAGCACACACTTTCGTACTTCCAGTATTTTTCTTTTATTTATATTTTTACTTGATATATACATTTTGTTTGATAGTACTTTGTTAACACTGTAAATATTTGCCAGTCATACAATTACTGGATTTAGCACACAGCCATCATAAAACAGACTGTCTTGCTGACAAATTATATGAATTACAAACAGAATATGGGAATTTTCCACTCCTGAAAGAAAATCATATCTTGCTTAAAACATATTTTTCTTTCAGATAATGCTAGGGTAAATAAGCCGAAATAAGTTTAAGCACTTTTCATAATAATTCTGTTTTGAAATGAAGACTGTGCATGTCATTTAATTTCATAGTAATTAAGAAGACTAGCTGTGAAACTCAAAATAAAATTAAATGGAATTGCTATCAACCAACCTTAGACTGCAAAAAAATTTACATCTGTAACAGATTTGCTGAACAAATATACCTGATGGTGGCTACAGTCCTTGGACTGTATTTGAAGTGGAATTCAGAGGCTTTTTTTAGCCCTCACTCTATAAAAAGATAGAATTTTAAATGAATTGTGCACGACTAAGAGAACTAGTACATTTTTCAGCTCCAGCTTCAGCTATATGAAGAAAATAAAAGAAAAATATTTCCATATATTTCCCCTTCAGTTAATAAATGTTTTAATTACACATAGACTGAAAAACATGCCTATGTCTTTACAGAAATATAAAGACATTCATGGAAAGCTTATCCAGAAAATAAATTATTACTAGAAAATAATGCCTTCATAGAAAGCTTGATGATGTTTTCTTCCTCCACATTCAAGTGAAATGCATTTAATTCAGTCTGCCAGAAATGGCTATGCTTCTGCTCTGTGAAAAATACGCTTATAATGAAAATAAATATTTGTCAATTTACTGAATTCTTAGCAGAAAATCTGTAATGAATGGACTGTGTTGTAGTTTAGTTTAGGTTTGGGTTGTTTTTCTTTTTTTTTTTTTTTGTTTCTGTGGAATACTAGAAGTAGCATAAAAAACAGATTATACCATTCTGTGGGACATTTTGTGTATGTCCCTTAAGACACAGTGCTTAGAAATAAAGACAATAGAAGTCAGCTGTGGAATAAATGAAATTCAAAGCAGTATTTAAACCTACTGTTTATTACTAAGTCTTCAATGCAAAAGTGGAAAGCAGAAAACAAATCAAATGTCAAATATATCATAGAATCACTCAGGCTGGAAAAGATCTTAAAGATCATCGAGTCCACAACAAACAAATTTCAGTTGGTAACTAATAGGTTGAAACCCAGAATAATTAATTCTGCGCCTGTAAGAAAAATCAGCTTCTTAGGTTACTTGAATTTTTCTTGCAGGTTCAAGCCTTCAACAGCTTAAACTCTTTTTGTAAAGAATATGTTACCACAGAGTTCATTCAAAAGATGACTCTTTTGAGCTAGTGTTCATAGCATTCTGTGGTTCAAACTTTGATACATATATGGCTACTACTGCCAGGCTTATGTGTTGAATCTCTTTTGCCCAGAAGTTCCTAAAGGAAAAACAGAAGATTACTCTTGCCTTTTCTAAGCACAAGAGAGCCAAACAGACTTGATAACTAGCGAACAACAGTTCTTGCACTGTGCTTCTAACTAACACAGACTGATATTCAGCTTTCTTGAAGGTCTTGTTTCAGACTTTTATTTAAAAACGCTAGTTTATCTCCAATATGACAGATCTTCATTTCAGAACAATGACAAAAAAAAAAAAAAACACGTTCTGTCAAATCTCACTTTCACAAATAACTTTTAGAAAGTTTTGGCTCTGGACAGTAGGAGATGCATATTTCCAGTAGACTGGAAAGCTCTTCTATGCCCTAGGTCCTCTTAAGTTGAAAGATGCTGGCAAAGCAGGCTGGTAAAGGTACTGAAACCAAAGAAGTTACACCGCTATCTATCCATCTTCTATATAGTTACGCTTCACTTTATACAGCCACAGGCAAAGGTTGGACAAAGGAACTGATAAAACACTATAGAATGTGGAAGGCCTCACCTCCTCAACATTAAAAAGAAAAGAAATCATGCTTAATAAGGCACTATGCTAAGGAAAGCATACAATTCATAAAGGAAAAACACCAAATAGCTTGCACTGCAGGGAGGATGGATTAATCATCTAGTGAAACTTTTCTAGTTTCTCTAAGTATCTGGTTATTTTCAGCTTGTCTGTGTCTCTTGGATATCCTTATGCAATTTCTCTTTCTGAACACGCAAAGCAAAACTAAATGCAGAACAGCTCTCTAATATATAGAAACACTGCTGAAAAAACATATGTTGCATACTTAAATAGCGTTAAAAGAAAAGTTACATTTTCCAGGAAAAATGGGGGAAACCCACCTTGACACAATCTGTGCTTCATGTTAATTTTATGCATACAATAACATCAATTTGTAATTCAGGTTTCTCTTATCATCATCCTGAACTATATTATCACTTTCAGATCCTTTCAACAGCAGTCTACATTGAGAGGCATGGCAGCAGAAAAACAACATACAAGATCAATTCTTGCATTAAACAGAAAAATACATTACGAAGGAATTTATTATAAAGCAATAAAGCCAGCACTGAATTTGTTGAGAAATTTACACCACTTACTTTTCACAGCAGATGCTCACCTACTTCAAAATAAAATGTCCGCTAATGGGAAGCATTGCTTTTTATTGCACAAAAAGAAACCTAGTACATCGGTCTCTGCACTGCTATCCATTATTTGTTACAATTAAGTGGCTGGATTTTCTCTTGTATTAAGAAAAAAAAATACATTATCTTTAATATGGCTTTAATATATTTTATGTATGTCTTAATTTCAGCAAAGTAGACTGTGATAAAAGGGAGTTGGGCACGCATTCAAAAGATAAAATATTTTTTGCAATACAGACTGTTAAAAGCTGAAACATGTTTATCACATCACAAAATTTAACCACCGTCATTTTTCCTATTACAGTAAAAGAGATAAGATGTCAATGCTTCCATTGAATTATTAAACTTTAATATTTAATGATCATATGAGCCATTCTCCCTTACCAATGGAACGTCAAACAAATGAATGCACTGCACTAGCATAATGAACGCTCTTTGAGAAAATACAGATTAGGTTTGAGTGGAAGTAAAGAGGGAAGCAAGTCTTTAACAGACTGGATTCCTATTTTCCCAATCTTTACAAACACATTCTGGAACTCTGCTAATGGATTTAAAACAAACCACTTTTTTGCTGATCTTTAAAAAAATAAAATAAAATCAAGCAGAGTATTTCCTATCACTTCCAAGGAAGAAGATTACAATGCTTGTTTTAGCAGCCAGACAGAGAATATTATACCAGGGCTCACTTACTGAAAAACTGAAGTACTGAATACTAGATGAGCATAAATATAGATGGAAATGTAACAATAACATAAGATTTTTTATTTTTTATTTTTTAAAGAGAAAACAAAAGGGAGAACTAACTGTTCTGAAATATCATCTCAACCAAGCATACAAGTGCCAACGTTGACACAATGACAAATTAGAGATGGCGTATAAGTGGGATGTCAGATGAGCCTTTCTAAACTGTTCTTAAATAATATGTTGAAGGTCCCAGCAGTAACAGAATGATGATGGAACTGGGCTTTTATTTTCTCAAAATTAATGCTGGAATCAAGCTAAATAAGAAAGCTTGGATGGTCCTGAGCCAGACTACGAGCTAAATGCTAACATCTGCAACGTCAAAACTGTAGCCTTTAAAAATTTCAGGCACATCGGATGGTCAAATGAGACCATTATACATGAGAAGGGAAAACAGATGACAGCAGACTGGGGTAATTGGAGACCATGGGACTGGTGACCTAGTTAGAGAAAGAGGGAAGGATTCCTGCAGCAGAAACTCTTGGGACAACAGTCTGCACGTAGACACGAACTTGTAGAGATAGTGCACCAGGAACACCAGTTTACTGCATAGAATATCAGAAGTAGGAGGGCAGAAGACCACATATTTGTAGCTCTTCATTTCACTTTGAAATAATTTACTTCACTTCTATATCCTCTCTTCTTATATATGCTCCATTAATATTCCTAACAGAAAGAACAGTGTCCTCCAAAGTATTGAGTCGTAGTCAAAATATTCTTCTTATTTACACTGTGCTATTTATCAAATTAAGTTATTTCCAAAATTATATGCACACCTCAGTAAGTCTAACAAAGGCATTTGCATTTGACATGAGCATGATTTTTAGCTTGCCTGTAGCATCTTGGGTACACATTACTACAAGCATTATTAAAACAAACAAAAATCACAAAACCAACACAGGTAATCTCATCAAACATGTGGGTTGATTTTACTGGACTGTTTATTGATGTATCCAGATAGAGACCCTCCATTGTCCCATTAAAGGAAGAGGAACGACATTAAAAGAAAAACAAATCACGCAATTTCCAAAATTTGAAATACGGAGCAAAAATGAAGAGGTTCAGACAAAAATGTAGCAACTTGAAATATATACACACACAATTCATATAATTATACATAAATATATATACAAAGGACCCATTACTAACAGAAATCATGTCATCTGTGCAATCAGCTGATGGAAAATATTTGAGAATTTCTGATTTTGAATCCATTTCATCGGCATCAAATGACAGTTTTCCAAAT